CACGTTCATGGGCGCCAACGGGTCTTTTCACAGTTTCCCCTTAAAATGTCGATGGTAATGGTACTCCCCTAGATTAATGCCTTCGACTGTGGCTTCACAATATTCCTTGCGATTTTTCGGCAAATAACCCACTTTGAGATATCCTGTAGTGTCTTCTCGAATTTCTGTGCCATCGATATAGTTTGACATTAGTATGAATATATAAGTAAGGTTTGTGCGAGTCTCAGAAATAGCGCTTATAACTCGTGAACCACAACGCATATCAAGCTGCTTTTTCTGTGATGTTTATTGATTCCATTTTAGCTAAGTCTTTTACATCAGTTTTCCTCCTGTATTCCATTTGCGAGCGATATGATGACTTAGATGTTGTATCGCTCTCTGGACGTACGTAGGTCAAATAAACAACGTCAGAAGTCATACCCACGAAAAGGGTGCTTAGGTTGTGAAAAAGTTATTTCTTAAATTCCATGCAAGTAAGGACCATAACTAAGAACTAATCCAAATACAAATCATTTCATGCTAAACTAATTATGATCAAAAGCATATTGAAAACCATAATCATCTGTAAACCCCAGCTCGACTGCAATCTCCTTCGTCATATGAACTCAGCAAAGTGAACAATATGCGGCAACTCTCGGTCATTAAATACGAGACGTTTCGGTCCTTGTATATAAGAGCTTCATAAATCCTCCTTTTAAACCTTGGTCTTTGGTATCTGAAAAGCAAGATAATCTGATTAAGTATAGATGGCAATAAATACAGCGGTCGGTACAAATGGAGTTCTTTGCACGGTGGTGAAGAAGTCGGTTCAAGTTGAGCAACAAGAGATATCTTTGAAACACTATCTATAATTTTGATGTCTTAGTGTAAGCCAAGACGAAGCAACTACGCGTGAATGTATATTTTCCCACTGTACATAAGGAGTTTAAACAATTTTGGATCTAAAGATATTCAGCTATAGTATGTTAAACTAGGCACTCTTTTCCAGAGGGTTAAATCTCTGTAGCTTATGGTGCCAACAACCGATTACAACAGACAACACTACAACAGCGATTCTTTTGTAACGTTCGATAGATTATTGAAAATTTACCTCTTAAATCACTGATTGTTTTACGCCGACCTGAAAAATAGTTGTATAGAAGATTCTGCTCGTGTCGAGCGATTGATGGAAGAAAGCACAGATCTTCTGCCATGTTGGTAACCTCGCTTGATTGGTCTACAGAATGATTACGGTTTGTGCTTAAACGTTGTTTTGTTAGACTACAAAGCTTACCTAGTACTATCAGAGCAAAATGCACCAGCTGTCTTTACACGTACCTACAATGGTGGAGAAACAGTTAATTTCTGTCGGATGGGACGTCTGAAATCCCGTGAAAACGAATTCTTACTTACACCGGCCCGTTTTACAACGGCATGTGCAATCAGTACTGTGACAGATTTGGCAGGGTCTGTCGTAATCAGGGTCATCTGGACTGTTGCCGCTTAAACATGACTTCCCAGGCATGTTAAAGCTTTCGCGGAGTGAGAATAAGTTTCCTGCTGCTCCCCAAGAATACTAGTCAGCCTAAATCTTTATTTACTGACACACAGACTTTTGAACTGAATATGCGTCTGCCGATCGGACATGTGTCGCAAATTGATTGATTGACAGCTCATAGCCCACTGAGTTTCAAGTTTCTTGCTTTCAAAGTAGTTAATAAGATCGCTGTGTGCTAAATTTAGTAGTTTGAAGTTTCATGAAACAAAACATTGGTAACTAACGTATCAGCGCCAACCTCTGCCAATTTGTCTATTTCTTGGGAAGATGCCATATCTTGGGAAGATGCCCCATCTGGGGCTCGGATTTTTCTATTACATTAAAATAGTTTCATCTTTACATGCCATAAATTGACGAGAAATGGCCTCGGGTTCCCTTTCTCTCTCGGTTTGCCTAATTCATAGATGCGCACATCTCATATGCACCACAAAAGACACAGGTTGAATTCTAAGTTTTCCCAGGGCATCTTTGTTTATCGAGACACAGCGCCCTTATTTGGTTTTCATTTTATTCAACGCGGCGGTCGGTCGTCGATTGACAAAAATGTGCTTACACGGCATATCGAAAAAGCGCCAGCGAAGCACTATGTCAGTAGCATTGTTTTGCAGTTTTTATTTTCTATGTCCACTCAAGCTCTGTTGAGCTGTTTAAGCTGACGCAAAACGCTAGAAATTGTGCACATGATACCGATATTAATAGCATGGTTTTGTAGTTTTTTTTATTGTGTGTGTATCCATTCCAGCTCTGTTTGGCTGTCTGGGCTGACGCGACGCGCCAAGAATTGCGCGCGTTACACCGTTGAATGCTGGCATCAACTAATTGTTTTGAAATCGCTATTGATCTGAACTGACTCCGATATGTAGATCTGACGCGAAAACACCGCTTTTAACCCATGAACAAAAACACAACTCAAGTTACTTTTGTTGTGATGTTTATTGACTCTATCTTTGTCAGGTCTTTTGCATCTTCTGTTATATTCCATTCGTGTGCGAAATGATGACTTAGATGTTATATTGCTCTCTCGTGGATCATAGGTCAAATAAACAACATTATTAATCATACGCACGAAAAAGGTGCTTAGCTGCTTAGGTTGCAAAAAAATGTCTTAATTCTCGTTCAGATGAGGACCCTACCTAAGAACTAATCCAAATACTTCAATTGTTTCATGCTAGGCTAACAATGATTAAAAGCTTTGTGCCTTGTTTATACGAGTGAATAAGTCTGTTTTAGGCTCGTAACGTGAACAAATTGTGATGACTCCAAAAAATAAAATACGAAAAACGCTTCTGTCCTTGTTGATAGAGGCTTCATTAGTCGTCCTTCTAAATCTTGGTCTTTGATATCTGAAAGGCAAGGTAATCTGATCAAGGAGGGATAGTTTGTACGAATACAGTTCTTTGCACGGTGGTGACTAAGTCGGTTTGAGTTAAGCAGCAAAGAACGCTAGCCAGAATTCTTTTCGATGTCAGTCTAAGCCAAGACGAGGCAATTATTTGCGAATATATATTTTGTTACTGTACGTAAATATTTGGAACGATTCAAGATCTAAAGTGTGTTATACTCAACACTCTTTCCAGAGGGTTAAATCAATCTAGCTCATTGCCAATTACAACAAACAACAGTATAACAACGATTCTCGATTCACTTTCGACAGAGTATTGAAAATTCACTTTTTAAATCACTGATCCTTCGCGCCGACCTGAAAAACGGTTGCATGGAAGATTTAATTCGTGTCAAGTAATTGATGGGCAAGCGACGATCTTCCGCCATGTTGGAAATCTCGATCTATAGAATGATGAGGGTTTGTGCTCAAACGTTGTTTTGTAAGATTAGAAAAGTTACCATTTACTATCAGAGCAAAATGCACCAGCACTTTAGGCGTTTGACCTTAACTAGAGCTGTAACAGCCATGATAGAATCATGTTAGATGGGAAAATGAGGATAGCATAATAACATGAAACGATTCGCTTTCGATCTGGAAAAAATGGATACAAGTGAGACTTACCTTGTTACATTACAGTGCAGGAGTCCTTCCAGTCTAAAATAAAGAGAAAAATGTCAAAACAGAGAAAGAAAAATGTCTTGCAAACGATTTAATGTTCCAATGATACTTTACTTGAAGCAGTTCTACGCAACATTGCAAGAAGGCGTCGTGCCTTAGAAACGTCTGTACATGTGCTAACAACTTTATAAGTTGCGTCGCGGACAGTATTAGCCGTTGCGTTAGATCTTCCGGGCATTTTAGAGGAATGGCTCGTGAGTTGATTGTCACTCTTCTTTCCAACAGCACGAACGATCGTTCTCAATAATATGTAAGCAAGATTGTTTACCTCTCTAGCCATTTGTTTTAGCATACGTGGCGCTTCCTAAAACGGAGATTGTATCACTGATTGGTTCCATTGGACAAATAGATTTTGCCAGCTGCTAAGTTTCTCTGCCCAATCATGTTGGCGCGTTTCATTTCAACTGGTCAATGGACGATTTTTTGCACTTGGTAGATTTGTATGTAAACAATTCGACTTCTTCCTGCCTCTATAATCATTGCTCAATCGATTAACCAAGCACAAGACGAGGAAATTACGCGCTAATGTCTACTTTCCTACGGTGCATGAAGAGTTTAAACAATTCTGGATCTATAGAGGTTCAGTAATAGTATATTTTCCAAAACACTCTTTCTAGAGGGTTTAATCTATATAGCCTAAGGCGCGAATAACAAAACAACAACAGACAACAGTCTGGCAACGATAATCACTTTCGAAAGAGCATCGAAAATGTACCTTTCAGATCACTGATCGTTCGCGCCAACCTCAAATACAGTTGCAAGGAAGATTTAGTAAGTGTCGAGCGAATGACGCTATTCCGCCATGTTGTCAACTCCGCACGACTGGTGAAAGAAGGGCGAGGGTTTGTGCTTAAAACTTACCTGAAATCATCACAGCAAAACACACCAGCTGCCATGGTCGCACTTTCCTGGAACGGTAAAGAAAGAATAAATCTTTAGTGGCTTCTGGCGTTTCTAAGCCCATTAACGATAAATTACCACTTACACGAACCTTTTTTACACCTTCCGGCTTTTTTGCATTTAGAGTTACAGTCGCTGCACGGAGTGTGGTAAGAAGCGTCATTCGTGGAGTTGCAGCATGCGCAAGATTTCCCTGGCATATTATTGTTTTAGTTAAACGCGGCGGAGGATAAGTTTTTTGCTCGCCGAATGTCAGTGTAAAAGCCTCAATAAATGAAGCACAGGCTATTATAGAACAAGCTCTTGAATCTAAATTTTATTGATTGACAGTTAGAGTCTCAATTTCCCCGCTGTCAAATTGTAGTAAATAAGGTCGCTTTGTGCTAAATTTAGTACTTTCTTAAAAAAAATATTGGTAACTAACGCGTCATAGCCAACTTCTGCCAGTTTGTTTATTTGTTGGGAATTTGCCGTGAATAGGCGAGAAATGGCCTCGGGTTTCCTTCCTATCTCGTTTTGGCACAGTCATAGATGCGCACATCTTATTTGCTCCACAAAATACGTAGGATAAACTCTAAGCTATTTCCATGGCATCTTTGTTTATCGAGACACGGCGCCCTCACTTAGTTTTCATTTTATTCAACGCGTCGTTGATTGACCATAATGTGCTTATACAGCATATTGAAAAAAAAAGCTAGCGAAGCAAGATGTCAACAGCATTGTTTTGAATTTTTTTCTCGTCCATTCAAGTTCTGTTTGGCTGTTTAGGCTGACGTAACACACCAAGAATTGCGCGCATATCATCGCTGAACGCAGGCACCAATTATTGTTTTGCAATCACTGTAGATCTGAGTTACGCAACGTAGGGACGTGATCGCGCTCATAATTCAAGCAACCACGTGCAATTGTACAGCTAAACATGAAATTCTTGAAAGCTCGCTGTAAGTGGATTTTCTGCTTTGTTGCATGGATGACCCGCGTCTTTGGTTGAATTGCCGCAAGCACAAGATTTCCCGGGCATACTTATGATTTAAGAGTTTCAAGAGATATTGTCTGTTTCTTATTCCTCAAAAGCCAATGAGTCAATGAAATGCAAGCTTATGAAATTTAAGAACGTGTCGGCCTCTCTGACGAGAATAGCAACTCTATTGACAGCAATTCCACTGATTTGAAATTTTTATGCCGTCAAGATGTTGTCAGTACGCTTCATAAATTTATTCCCTTTAAGAGTCTCGACAGATGAACGAGTTACGTTAAGAAAGGCGTGCAAGATATCGTAGAACGCGGTTTAGGCGCGTCTGGGATCAATTAAAGCTCTTGTAATTTCTTGACCAAATTTTGTCAGCGATGAGAACTTTAGGCGCGGAATGCTTAAGCATATTATAACTAACATCATGAGAAGGAAGATTTTGGATGGTTTGGAAATTACACTATTAAAAATGTACCGTCGAAAAGGCTAATGTGAATTGTGCGCCTAAATATAAATTGGAGTATCTAGCGCTGTATCGAACAATAACTAGGATATCGAGTAAAAACACAGCAAGCGAAACTTAGGTGCACGAAGAAAACAAGTGTTACATTTATTCAACAATCTATGTGACATCATTTTACGTGCGAAGAATATACAAAAAACTGTTCCTGAAGATACTGTGGTGAACTCTGACAAAATTACGAAATCTCTACTGTCAACGCCGTTTTTGCTTTTAACATCTAATGCTTGTATGCTTAAAGAACACAAGAACGGTTCAACGAGATAATTCCTCGGTTTCTTGAAAGATCATCAAGTTCCTCATCAATTCTCGTCGTCCGTTTTGCTCTTGAAGTTCCTGAAAGACAGGGAGAAGGCAAAGCGTTTACCGAGACAACTTCACGTTGTTTTGAGTCATCAAACCGTAATTCCGTATACAACCAATGGACAGGACTTGACTGACCATTCAAGAGGAACGCACAACAAATTTACAATGGATTGAAAAGGAATATCGCAGTCCAGCGGCGTGAAAATTTACGACAAACCAGTGGAGAATGTGGGGTGCGAACGATTTGTATAAGTGAACAGAAGACGACATTTGTTGCATACCTCATGGATTAGGTTTCGGCTCCTGAGGTTTTGGTGACTGAGGTTTTGGTGACTGAGGTTTCGGCTGCGTCGGTTTAGGATATGGTGGACATGGAGTGGGATTCGGTGTTGGTTTCCCCGACATAATATTCGAAGGATACGTGCAAGTTGATTCTTAGTGACAGGTTGAGTTGAGCGCTCAACTTTACTTCGTTTGTCGTCAGATCAGTGTTTTTTATAGCGCGACGCACCGAGACTTATTATCATATGTTCTATTTCGACAGCTGTCAATTTTGATCGCAGAAAAATGCTTACCAAGCATTCAAAATAATTAAAAGCGCGCTGGATCATGTGTATTGTGAGTAGTGTCAACCGATATATCGACCGACTATCAACCGACTATCGAACGACTGTCGACCGATCATTGAGCGACTGTCAACCGACTATCGAGCGATATGTCGACCGCCATATCAAGCGTACATCGACCGCTATACCAACTGCTATATCGACCCAACAATACCTATAGCACATATTATCCAACGCGGTTACCTTAAAGAGTCATTGTAAAACGCAGTCGCTGTCTTTATCTAATTCCAATAAGAAATTGGAATTCGTCTCATCGCTTGATTTCAAGTTTCTATTCACCCATGTTCAAATTTCCCAAATATAGTCTACTAGCTGAATCCTTTTGACAATGCATCAGGGAAAGTATCTCTAATTTGCTGCGAGGAACCTTCGTTGACATATTCTGTATTTTATATCATCATTCAGAATGTATTGGGTATTAAAGGGTCATTCAGTTTTATCTTAAAATTGCCAAATATGTTTCTTTAGTTAAATGCCTCGTTAAACACTGGAAAGGATTTTTAGCGAGGATTTTTGAAACGCAGATATCAGACGAGGAAGCTTTGCTTTATTTAATGAACAATCACACAACTGAAGTTACTTTCTTTGTTATGTTTGTTGACTCCGTTAGATATTTCACATTCGTTCCTGAGGACCGCCATTCACGACAGAAAATATTACTTAAATATCACATCCCTTCTATAACAAACTTGAGTCAAATAAACTGCACTAAGCAGACAATATGAAAAGTTACAAAGTTGGTAAAAAAAAAAATTCGTACGCACATTTAATCGAAGTAACAAACTCAACCAAAAATTAGCTGTTTCAATCACTGCACTCATAAAACGAAATTGTCTCAAACTTACAAAGATCAGTAACCTACAAACATTTAGATAATACAAGTAAAACAGTCTATGATAAGCGTGCAACATGCCTAAACTGTAGGTAACTCCAGAAACTTGAAAATGAAAAGTACATCGGTCCTTGTGAAGAAGGGCTTCATCTGTTCACTTCCGACAACTTCATCATCAGGATCTGAAAGGCAAGACAAGCTGATTAATATTCCGTAAGGCTTAATACTGCAGGTTGCAGTAGAGCAGCGAATCAATGTAGGTTATGAAACAAGAATAGCTAGAATTATTTCTGAAGTCCTAGGTCATTCCGAGGCAATTGCGTGCGAATGTTTATTTCCACAATGCACGCGAAGAGTTTGAACAATACGGGTTTTTCCAACTGAGGATTAACACTCAGGAATAGTCTAGTTTGCTAACAGTTTTTTCAAGTTGGTTGAAATGTACCAAGTGTATTGCGCAAATTGCAAGTAAGCATTAAACAACGGTGTAAAAAAATAATTTATTTTCGTTTTCGCAAGAGTGTAAAAACTTACCTTCTACAACACTTGACAGACTTTGCGATACCCTGAAATATAGATGCGCAAGAGTTAGCTTTTGAAATTTAAAATATTCAAACTAATCAGAATCTTAACTGAGGCAGTATTTACTTTCGTTGTGATTTCCACGCCGACTTTGATTCGCGCGCGGAGCTTTACGTTTCTGTTTGGTTTTTGTCTTCTTTTGAACAGATCCTTTCTTTGGCTTTTTTTTGCTGCCAGTGTTTTTCTTCTTCTTGTAACTAGCATCGCGAGTGGAATTACTAGTAGCTGCTGCTCTGGGCATACTTTGGACAATTTGCAGAATACTTGCCAGCTCAGAATTCTATACTGAGTACCACGACTAACCGTCTTACGCTTTTATGGGGTCGTTGTCCGCGCTTTTTGCTTCCGTGATTTTGATTGACGTCTCACAACTAATCGTTATACACTCAATCGCGTAAAATATCATTCTTCCGCAACGTGGTTAACGCCGCAAAGCTTTCCGGTTACTTAACTTTTTTTGCATTTTATAACCAGTATCTTGCAATTTGCTGATTGATGATCAACTTTGCTAAAATATTTCTTGCTCTTACAGAGTGTTGCTGCTGATATCCTGTAGTTGTATTTGTAAAGTGATATGGTTTTCAATTCATTGGCTTTCATTTATGCTTAATATTTAACTGCGCAATGACTCTCAGCTTCAATCCTATCTTTGGAACAAACAAACGTGAGCTGACCAAGTACTAAGCAGTTAGATATTATGAGGACATAATATATTCCATTGGTTAAAACGCATGCAATTTTTTTTGCGCATTTACGCGTTTGACACTGACTGATGCTGTTAAACCACAAATAAAACAATTTCAGTTTGGCTAAAAAGGGTGACATTGTAATATCAATTGATTCACTTTCGATGTGGAACAAAAGCATGAACACAAAATTAGCCCACCTTGTTACATTACAGTGCAGGATGCTATCCACGCTGAAACAGAGAGAAGTATGTCAAAATGAAGGAAAGCAAAATGACTTGCAAACAATATCATGATCTAATGATACTTTACTTCGAGCAGTTCTTTGCAACATTGCAAGAAGGCGTTGCGGCTGAGAACGGCGCACACATCTATGAAGAGCTCTGGTAGATCTTTCGACTTGTTTTTTGCATCTGTAACCTGCGTCGCGGACAACATTAGCCGTTGCTTTGGATCTTCCGGGCATTTTAGAGATTGCTTTATATGATATCAAGAGAGTAGCTCGTCAAGACGTCCTCTCAACAGCACGAACGATTGATCACAATAATATGTGCGCTAGATTTCTTCAACCTCTTTAATAATTTGTCTTAAGATACGTGGCGTTTTCTAAGACGGAGATAGATTTTGCTGACCAAGGGAATTTCTAACTATTCGAGAGGAACGGGAATTTAATTAACTGAGTATCACTGTCACTCGTGGCGCGAAAAGTTGCGACAAAGCTCGGTGGAGAACCTAAAGTACGAAGGATTAAAGCAGAGAATAGAGGTCAATATTATCGCATACCTTTTCCAATCTTCAACGGAATCGAATACAGCCCCCCTTCGGCGAGGGATTCGATGGTGGCGGATTCGGTGGTGGCGATGGCTTTGGATACGATGGTTCTGGAGTGGGATTCGGCGTTGGTTTTCCTGACATAATTTTCGATGGCTGTCGTATATAAGCAAGTTGACTCACAGCGACCAGTTGAGATGGATGCTCTACTTTATTAAGACTGACGCAAGATCAGTGCTTTATAGAGCGAGACGCGCCGAAACTGAAGTATCAAATGTCCGATTCCGACAGCTGTCAAGTTTAGCCGCAGACGTGGCTTATAAAACTGCTTATGAAGCATGCTTACGAAGCATGTTGAAACAAAGTTTCTTTGCCGAATCATGTTTGGCTCGTTTGAAATATTACATTTCACCCAGGTTAAAGGACGAATTTTGCGCTAAATAGAGATGTATCTAAAATGATCCAATTCCTCTTGCCTCGCTAATCATTACTCAATCGACTAACCAAGCACTCGGAAATGGCTATTTTTGGATGACTGCCGTGCGCGCATGTGCCTTTCAAGTTGGTTCTTGGAAGTCGCCTGTTGATATTGTGCTTTCATTGCATTTGGTGAAATGCTAGCGAAGCGCTTTTCCAATGTTTGTTTTGATTTGCTGTAAATCGATATGTTTCGGGTAAAAAGATAGCCCGCTATGTCAGAAGAATTGCACAATAAAATAACATACGTTTGGGCTTGTTGTGTCAAAGATCTAAAAGCGCGCTCACCTTAAATCCTCATTCTAGTTCGCCGCTGCTGTGTACGCAATCTAAAACAAGAAATAGGATGTGGTTGGTAGATTATTTCGTAACCAACACGAAAAAACGCTCAACGAACACGAGAACTTACTTCCTCCACCGGTTCCTTCACTTGAACCACACGTGCTCGTATTCGAGTCGCCCGTCCCTGTGTTGCCGTCGGTAGAAGCTAAAAATGAGGGTCATAAAAGGTCTCAGAGATGTTTCTAAACAAAAGCTCTGGTCGACACAATGGCACTTACTATTCGAGCTTTTGTCTGAGCACGATGAAGAATCCATATAAGCTGCGTCGTCAGTCGTATTTCCGGTTGTTCCGGAATTGCCTGTTGACATGTTCACTCAAACCAAATTTTTCTCAGTGTGTAGAGTCGATCTGATTTTCCAGTTATGATAAATTGGCCGAATGATCGCGCACTTTGCTATGAGGCTGAAAGTATTAACTTTTTATACTTCCCACTTCTAGGGAGCCTTAGACTCAGGAAGTGATTAGAATGTTACTGATTCACGCCACCTCCATAAAAGGCATTCAAAAGGGGGTATTTTGGGATTAATGAAGTACGCGCAGGCTATTTTCATGTCATTTCTTAGAAATCGCAAGTTGATAAACGAGACATGTGCTTACAAAGCACATTTCTTGACAATCACGGTAGAACGGTAGATTATCACGGTAGATTGTCACTGGTAGAACGCCAGCAAAGCCCTTTTCCATCGTTTGTCTTGAAATCCAATTTGCGCAGTTATCAAGGTCTTTCATCTCAAAAAGGTCCTCGTATCATCGGGTAGGAAAACATCCTGAAGCGCGCTAGAGAGATGAAGATGTCAATTCGTCTTTATTCCAGACTATTTTTAACCCATCGGGACAGATACTTGCAGCGCGCGTTAATTTCCACAGAAATGAGTTTTGAAGGAGTTAAGTCGTTTGTTTGAATATTACTATTTAGATGACCATGAATTTGCACTTATTGTCTCACTGGTTGATTTCAATGAGCTCATAATTCAAGTTTCTATGTACCCATGTTCAAATTTCCCAAATGTAGTTTCTTAGCTTAGTCCGTTTGACATTTCTATAAAGAAACTAACTGTAATTTTCCGCGAAGAACCCTCGTTGACAAATTTTGCATTTTATATAATCATTTCCAATGTCTTGGACTTAAAACTACCAAGTATTTTCCCTTAGTTCATTGCCTTGTTAAACGGTGGAAGGGATGTTTAGTACGGTTTTTTGAACTTCGGATATCACACGAGAAAGCGCCACTCGTATCTCATAAACAAGAACACAGCAAGTAAGTAAGTAAAGGCTTTATTTAATGAGGGTAGCACTAAAATAGTAAAGAATACTAATAAAACAGTGGCCCTCCAAGCACTAAAAATACAATAAAAACATTAGAGATATTAAAAACTATGGCTTAAAGACATAAAAATGAGATATGAAAATTACAGAATAAAATGATTTAAAACCTGTTGGTCATTGAAAATGCTCTTCCAGAGTGATGTTTCAAAACTACTTAAGGTGGCCAGTTTTGGAGTTGATAGTGGCAGAGTGTTCCACGTTTTACATGCTGTCGCTGTAAAAGTTCTTCCTCCTTCCTTTTTAACTCAAGTTACTTTTCTGTGATGTTTATTGACTTCATCTCAGTCAAGTCTCTTACATCGACTTCTGATGTGCGCTATTTACGAGCGAATTTATAACTGAAATGTTACATTGCTTTCTCATCAAACTTAGTCAATTGAAAAACACCAAGTCGCAAGGTGTGAAAAGTTACAAACTCATCGAAAAACTAGCCATTTCATGAATTACACTGCAAAACCAAAAACGTTTTCAAACTTACATAGAACAGTAACCAAAACATCCAAATAAAACAAGTAAGAAAGGCGCACAACTTCTCCAAACTGTAAATAACACCGTAACTTTTAAAGTGAGAAACACATCTGCCCTTGCGAAGAAGGGCTTCATTGATTCTTCTTCAAAGAATGTAGTCTTCGGGGTCTGAAAGACAAGACAAGCTGGTTAATATTCCGTAGGTTTAAATACTATAGATCGAACGCATGCAATAAATTGGAGTAAGTTTTGAAACGAGAATAGCTAGGATTATTTCTGAATTCTTAGTTCTTTTTAAGATAATTGCGCGGGAGTGTTTATTTTCATATTGTGCAAGAGTTTTAACAAGTCGGGTTTTTCCAACTGAGGATCAACGCTCAGAAATAGTCTAGTTTGCTAAAAGTTCTTCTAAGTGGGTTGTGTCCAGCTTAGTGCTCAAGTTCTACGAAAGGAGTACACAACTGTATAAAAACGATTCTGTTTTCAATTTTGAAAGAGTGTTAAAAAATTTACCTTTTACAGCAGTACGCAGTCGTCGCCATCCTTTTTCTCATACCCTGAAACACAGACGCACAATAAGTTAGCGTTCGAAAAGCAAATGCTAAAATAAGACAGAAATTAAACAGCGCGCACCGACCCAATAAAATTGTGGAGGTTAGTTGTTGTGCCGCTAAAGGACAGAACTCCGAATTGAACGACATGCACCAGCAAGAATCTACAAGGATGCTTTAATCGGCAGCAGCCTGTAACACCACTTCGACAAAGCCGGGTTACGATACGAAGAACACGTTCACCACAAACAGGTCAGCGAAGACAAACGAAATAAAGCGGCAAAATCCCTATCGAATTGTGGAACGTTTGTTCCGCTGGTTAAGCAGCAGTCAACGGGAGAAACTGACTAAATCGAGTTTTATCTCAAATATGAGGAGAAGGCGCGAAAATATGCTATTTTGTGTGGCATTAGCACATAACCAAAGTCAAGCTTACCCTTTCTGTCACAAAATTGTGCACCAATCTCCTAAAAAAAGCCAGAAAAGAAAAGAAAGTTTTAAAGAAAGTGAAATAAGAGTAATGTGTTGTATTATCGCGACTTACTCCAACCACCACGGTCGCGGTCGGGTTTATCATATTCGTTATCATCGGGGGTGTTTCCAGATGACCCTGACTTTCCAGGCATATCTAACACTTGATTTGTATTTTGCGATTTAAACACGACTATGGATCAAGATATCTTGCCAAGCTATCTGTATAGTTCTTCAATGCTTATGATGTGCGCAAGCTTTTACGTATGTCTATAAGGTTGGATTATGTTCGATGTTGTGTCGTCTTCTGATTGGCTGTCAGAATATGCTAGATGTGCACATTTTAGCAAACAACAAAATTTACTAAGAAATTCTGATTGTTGTATTTTTGAGGTTTTGAAACGAAGTTGTTTTAAAAGCGAATCATTACACATGGTTTCTTTCACGCTTTACGTTTTTGCAATGAATTCCTTAAGCTTGGTTTCTTTCAAGGCTTTGTCTGTATGAACCACGCGCCCGAATCTGCCATATTTTACGAACGATACTTGCGCGCGGAATATTGTCAACTTGATTCGTCACAGAGGAAAAACAGCATGCTCTAATGTAGAACCAGAATAGTTACACGTTTCAAGAAATGTAGAATAATAACGCGGAGTGAATGTAGAAAACAAATAGTGCGCACTACATGCATGATTACGAAGGATTGCAAAGGGAAGCCTCATACATTTTCAACCGCACTTGTACGAAATTTGCGCTTTTGTTTGGCGTATTGTTGAATTCTCTCTTACCTTGATAGAGAATCGATATTCCTGATCGAATTGAAGACGAAAATTTAACTAAGTTTGCCTTAGATCGTCAAAGCCCTTCGCTAGCGTTTTACCAATATGCTTCGTAAGCACTTTTCTCGTTTATTAAAACAAGTCCCTGCGTGTATCATTCAAATCAGAACTTCTTACGTTTTACAGCTTTTACGACACAAATTCCTAACTTCATGTGTCGCAGAAGGAATAAACAAAGTCAAGCTCACCTTTTCATTCACAAGATTGTGCACCAACCTAAAAAAGCCAAAAAAAGGAAGTGTAAGTTTTATAGAAAGCGAGGCAGAAGTAAGGCGTTGTATTATCGAGAATTAACAAACCAACTTTTCTTACGTTTAGCTTCGTTGCTATTGTTTCCCGAAGCTCCTGACATATCGAAAACTTGATATATATTTTCAATTTAACCACGACACGAATATGATTCAAGGTTTTCTGCTCTCTGTACAGTACGTCGGCCAGCAGTAGTCTTTATGTATGATGTCATTTGGGCGAATTTGCACATAACACTTGAGCGTAGAACAATTTGCCACCATGCTGCTACGAAATTTGCCCTTAGATTAGGCGATATTGTTGTATTCTCCCTTAACATGATAGATAATCGATATTTTGCATGGAATTGAAGACGAAAATTTAACTAACCTTGCCTTAAACTCGAAATCATACTTGAAGTACCTCAAGGTCACTTGGGAACAAGTCCTGCTTCGTGAATCAGTCATATCAAAACTTTTTACGTTTTACAGAATTTACCAACACAAAATTCTTACCTCACATCTTGTGTCAGAGAATCGTGCAACACGCTGAAAAGAAATAAAAATAATAAAAATGCATCAGAAGATTCAAATTGAAAGCACGAGGTAACGAAATGATAACTTACAAGAACAGCCACAACAGCTGTCGTCCCTGCATGGAGGACACCCTCGTCCAACACAGTAATCCGCATCACAAGTCGTATTTGGAGAACCACCGCAAGGCATATTCAATGCTATGTTTTCAGCTTTTGGAAAGAAGGTTGACGTACAACTTTATATCGAATCTCCCTCCGCTGCGTTTATATGCACGGACACGTCTAAACCAGGGTTGTCTTTATGATTGATTGACAACTTCTTGTGTAAATTTTCACCATGGCGTGGTAAAGAAAAAGTGCTTACCAAAGCAAGTTGACAAATTTCCTTTGCGCAATCATTTTTAGCTTTCTCCGATTAAGTTTTTCAACATGACGTGAATTGGTTTGGAAATGATCAAAAGCTTCTGCGCTGTTGGGCGATTTAAACACTTGGTATGAAATGTATAATTGTGTTCCGTCCGCTTGAAATACAAAAAGTCGTTCATGTTTCTACGTCGCAGCAAGACGCAGTTACGAAGTAACGATAAGATCACTTACAGGAGCAGCTAGAACAATTGTTGTCCCTGTCTTGATAATATCCTCCCGTTGGATAGCCCGCCTCAGAAGTTGTATATCCAGTCGCTCCAGAAGTACCGCTAGGCATATTTGATACTAAGTTTTAAGCCTTCCAAAGGGACAAGGTTGACGCACCACTGTAATTCGAATGGCCCTCCCCTGCGTTTATACCCTCGAACGCATCTAGACTAAGGTTGTTTTTTTATCTCTAAATGATTGACAACTTCATTGTGAAATTTTGACATCGTTAAAAAAGTGCTTACTAAAGCATGGCGAGACAATGTTCCTTTGCGCAATAAATTAAGCCTTTTCAGAATGAGTTTTTCGACATGAACAAACGTGAATTGGTTTTGAATTGATCAAAATCTTGTCCGCTGATGCGCCATTCAAGTGCGTCGAAAGGATTGCATAAGCGCATTCGTACACATAAAATATAAAAATGCGTTCACCTGTTAACGTCATTGCACGACGCAGGAGTCGCAATATCCTGTTAAAAAAAAAAAGAAATAGAAAGTCTTTACACTTAATATTTCCTGGTATCAAGACAGTTAACATGGCTTTATACACGATCCTGCGTGGCGCTAGATTTAGTACCTTATTCAACACAACTTACGAATCGCCAACGTGTAGCGCACCGCGACAAAACGGAGGGAGAGAATCGACCCTTTTACAAATGAAATAATCAAGCAGCCATATTAACATTTACATTTACCTTTCCGCGGCGCTGGTTGAGGAGGTTTCGGCGGAATTTGGGGGTCTTTAGGCGAATTTGGAGTCGGTCCACCTTTTCCTGACATATTGTTCTTAAACATTTCCGTTTAGAAGATTAAAACTGTTTCGCACTCTGTTATGGTAAAGCTTGTCGCGATTCTAGCCCCGCTATACTAAAGAATTTATTAGCGAATCACAGATTTTTTTTATATTATTGCGCACGAAGAAAATGACATTCGGTTTGGATGATTGACATGTCACAAAATGTGCTGACTCAGTACAAAAAATGCTTTTCTTACCTTGGAAGTAGAGATTTCGCTGCGCTGAAATCCCCTAGTGAAAAGACAATTTAAAAATAATTGTCAATAATATGCATGGGCATGCATGTGTTCTGTAATGCAACGCACCTTATCACTACCTCAGTTGTCTTTCAGGGAAGCTTGTGCATACGATGAAAAGTATCGATTCTACTTACCTCGGTTTCACTGCAAAAAAAACGCAAAACGCGTTTAGAATAGGTCCATGTTATTTTAGATGCTTGGTTCACGATCTTTGTGGCTTTCACGCCATGAGTTCATTTAAAGGGCGGGGCATAATACAAGTCGGTTGCCACGTAGTCGATGGAGGGACTTACCCCTGCGATCGAATGTTCGAAATGCTGTACACGCAAAATTTAGAAGCTATCTATCACTGATTCTTTTAACAACCATAAGAACACACAGTTTGAAGACGGTGAAAATTGCGCAAGGATCATGTTTTCTCTGTTTCCCAAACCTCATGCGTCGCTTGTGGCGGGTTTAAAGTCGGTGCATGGAAATCAAAATAAAATGCTGAGTGGTCACTTTCTTCTCTTCGTGTGTCTGATGCAATGTTTCTGAACACGCACTGGTCAAATTCAGCTGGCTTCCTGTAAGTGCTAGTCGCCAATGAATTCCCCCAGGATGATGCAACAGCTGATTTGTTTTGGCGGATTTTTACTTTCGCACTGTAAGCAGGTTCATTGTTTAAGAAAACGCGCCAACAAAGCAGTTTCGAGATGACAAATGCGTCAAATATATGCTTGGGAAGCAGTTTTAACGCTGCTTTATAAGCACTTTCTAATCTTTGTTGATTAGATGTCGCCCAAATGGTGCCACTTGAGCGCGTAATTTTACCTAAGCTGATTTTGTCATCCTAATCATCGTGGTTTTTATTAACTTAGCATAATCTCATGACGACCTTGGCCAAAATCATTCCCTTTTTTGGCAATCTGGACGCCAAGGCACTCTTTGCCATTGTTTACTCCGTCTGTCGTTAACAATGTTGCGGAAACCTGTTGTATCCCTTACCTACGTCAACACATAATCACCCTTTGTTCAGGTCGTCCAAATTTAATAACTTTCAGTTTCTTGCACGTACGGGTTTTTCCGGCCAGGTGTTGTGGCTGTCTCCCATTGGGGGATATTTTAGATCGTGACATGTTTGCTTCGTAAGCACTTTCATTTGATCATGGGAGCCACGTTAAGTCTCACCTAATTGGTCGAAAGTTTCAAGTACCAAATAAATCCCTTCTGACACGAGTTTTCAGGTATTTTTCCCTGCTTAAGTATTCGCATTAAAACATTACACCGGTTCGGTATCGCTAGTCTTCGTTGACTTTCTTCAAACGAAATGCACCCCAAAGTTGCAGAGCTGTTGGAAGGTAAATCAGAGGAAGGGAGAATTCAAGCCATTGTGTTTTCATTTGGTTGCCTTCTAACAAGGCCTACGGCTAATTCACCACCTGATGCACCCATGAAAGGTAAGGATCTGAATTACGTTCGTTTCACGGAACAATTTACGTACGACTTGATGCTAAGTTGATTTACGATTCGTTCACAGATGAACGGAGAGCAAAGGAGAAGTCGAGAAGCGAACCGAAATATTCCTTTGAGGAACTGAGCGACGAGGAAGATGGTTCAGGTACTTATATTTATATTCATTTTGTCTGTCTCTTGCTGAATCCTTTTGTAAGATAGAGAGCAACTCAGAGCGATAGTACTTATGAAGCTAAGCTACTTCGCTTACTTGCCGATTTCTTATCAGAATTTCGTCTCTTGTACAGCGCAATATATTTATTTGATTTAATTTGTTTTTCAGAATGAGGAACAAACGACCAGTGTTCACTCCAGGAAATCGATTGTTTCTCTGATGATTTATTTTGTACCACAAGCGACAAGGAATTGAGATCGCTCATGAATGATTTTTCATTCAACGCGTGTTATGTTGGGAGTACAGCTCATGCAAATAATTCCTTCACAAAAACAGTGGTGAAACCATTCAACGTCGAGTCACTCAACAAGCACTGAATGCAATGGATTGTCAAGTTTGTTTGTCTCTGTTTCTTAGTTAAATCACTCGTTAAACTACGGATTGTGAAGTTTGTTTTTTTACATCGACCAATTTTCTTCTTCATCTACTCTGTTAGATTTTTTTATTGTGACCAATACGTATTTCAAACTGAGCGATCAACATCAGCTTTTCCTGATACCGTAGTTTGTACTTCCGTTGAGTGAATGTGTACCAAAACATGTCGAAACTGAAATAGAGTTTTCACTCTTCACGTTTTCGTTAGAATAATACGTTTGCGACATTAGGTTGAACATTGCTCATTTGCAGTGATATTGAGACAGCCACCCGTCTTTAACTCTGAAAACTGTATATTTTTGTAATTAGAACGGATCGACATGCTGTATTAATTAATCTGTGTTGTCCGCTGTTTTGTAATGCCACTTTCTGAACTTGTAAAATAAAAAAAATCGTTCATGACGCCTTGTTATTTGACGTTTTATTGGTTTATTTGTGTTTAAATACAGTTATAAGAATTTTGTCATGCGTTCACTGAAGTTGTTATCCTTACCAAAGCGGGAAACCTTTCAGCCTGCCTTGTTTTTGTAAATATACCTTGCAGGCTAGGACACACACCGAAAATATTTTTATTGTAAACATCATATGCCCAAACGCAGGGCGTTATGACCCTCTTCTCTTGCTTACACCTGAAAACGTTTAAATTCATGCCACGGAATTTTTTGCTTTTCGAGTAAAAAAATTATCTCTTTTAAATACAAGATGTATTCTAATCCAGCATATGGTTGACAATTATTTTGACAAAAGGGTCTTTCAATATCAAAAGTCGATCGAAACCACGTATCAAACTAAATTTCTCGATAGCGACATCCTGAAAGAATTCAACTTCTTGCCCCTAAATTTGACCCCATTTTAAGAAGTACAAATTAAATACTATATTTCCTATAAAATTGTATTTTCATCTTTTAATATGATCAACTAATCGTAACCTTTTTAAAATCGAAAATTACGATTATTTATTAGCGGTTTTCCCCTACTAAAGAAATCGCTGACGAAGCAAAACTTGTCCTAGCAAATTTGGTTAGTGCGCCAATGAGAGGTTAACGTGCTTTACAATAATGGCATTCGTTCAGAAACAATTCAGCATGTTGTGTTGAAGCTGACTGTCATACCTGCTTCTGGGATTTTCCCCCACTCGTAAATACTTCATTTTGATTAAAATACGCCTCGTAAAAGTATGAAAGGAGAAAGGTTTTTAGGAACGATAACCTTGAAAATACAAGAACGGAAAATGCCAGGCATCAAAATGTGTTTGAGAGGAGCTGGGTTCTACAATTTGCGTGAGCTTATTATTAATGATTCGTTGGGTCTAAACGAACGGGTCAGAGTTACGATTTTTTGATTTTTCTCGTCGATATTTAACGAAAGAAGTAACCGAAACATTTTACTTTCTAAAACCGAAATCTACATACGAGTTCCGAGGAGTTTCGTTACCTTAATATTGAATTCTGGCAATGATAAAAGGTCCATATGGTTTTGTGCCTTTGTAACGCAACAACACTGGTTTACCTCACTCAAATCCAAAGTAAGGTGATCTGTTTAAAGTTACATTTTCTTTCTATTAAATATAGATTTGTACAATTGTTCCCCAAGTTCGGGGGAATTTTAAGTTTATTTTCTGATTTTCTCTCTTTAAGGTAAGTAAATTAGATTCTGCCCACGCGATTATTCGGGGGAAAGTAAATTATCAGCCTCGACGGAAGTTCAAAAGAGAATTATGTAAGCAGACAAAATAGCGAAAATATGTTGTGAGTTCCAAATGTGGGCGAACGTTTTTACTTACGGTGAACCCAATAAAAGCATGTTTTTTTCGATTTACCGATGTTTCCGTAGGTTTTTTTTCGATATACGGATTAAATCGTGCGTGTTAGGTTAAATCGTGTGTGTTAGGTTGTGAATAAATCTTCGTTTAAATTTTATGTAAATGGCTGGCGTGACAAAAGCTTCAAGCGAGCGTGACCCTCCTGAACGTAAACAATGTCACACAATATTCGCGGAGATTGAGATTAACTTTAGGGATTTTTTTTTCAGATTCTTTCGCTTTCCTTCGCTATTGACTAAGCGTATTCTTGAAAAATTAGCAATTATATAAAACAAAAAAATTTAGATAATTTCTTCTTTTGATTTTAATACTCTTGAAAAGAAATTCTGTGAGAAATATAATGAATTTTCGAAAATTAAACGGCAGTTCACCCCGAATTTCGAAATAAGCTCCCGAAGGTAATTAATTGGCTCATTAAGAAAGGAGCGTGTCTCTTTTTATTTAGTTTTGTATTTGTGGTTGTTGTGTCAAGCGCGTACTCATAAAATTTATGTTGTTAACTCGATGAAGCTGTGTAAAAACTTGGCATTAGTATGGAAATATAAGTAGTGGAGGAAAGCTCCGCTCGGCCCAAAAAATATGGTTATAGAGTCCCGTGGACCATCTTTGTGTTTTCGTCCTTATTCCGTAGCGTATTAGAATTAACTTCTGTACCAAGCGTGCGTGAAATTTTTTGTATCTACAACAAAGTTAGATTACGTATATGAGAACGATCCTTCGCAGTAAAGCACTATTTGAGCAATAGTGAAAATCAGACCTGAAAATTTGATGGCCTGCTCCCAGTTGGCTTGTTAGCTCAATTGGTAGAGCGCTGCACTAGTATCGCAGAGGTCAGTGGTTCGAATCCCGTACAGGCCTGAAATTTTTTTCAGGTCTGATTTTCACTATTGCTCAAATAGTGCTTTACTGCGAAGGATCGTTCTCATATACGTCTCATAACCGCAGTTCACACATATGTTTCATATGTTTGTTGTTGTTTGATTTATCATCTACGGGTTTATATCGAATTAATTTGATGGCCTGCTCCCAGTTGGCTTGTTAGCTCAATTGGTAGAGCGCTGCACTAGTATCGCAGAGGTCAGTGGTTCGAATCCCGTACAGGCCTGAAATTTTTTTCAGGTCTGATTTTCACTATTGCTCAAATAGTGCTTTACTGCGAAGGATCGTTCTCATATACGTCTCATAACCGCAGTTCACACATATGTTTCATATGTTTGTTGTTGTTTGATTTATCATCTACGGGTTTATGTCGAATTAATTTGATGGCCTGCTCCCAGTTGGCTTGTTAGCTCAATTGGTAGAGCGCTGCACTAGTATCGCAGAGGTCAGTGGTTCGAATCCCGTACAGGCCTGAAATTTTTTTCAGGTCTGATTTTCACTATTGCTCAAATAGTGCTTTACTGCGAAGGATCGTTCTCATATACGTCTCATAACCGCAGTTCACACATATGTTTCATATGTTTGTTGTTGTTTGATTTATCATCTACGGGTTTATGTCGAATTAATTTGATGGCCTGCTCCCAGTTGGCTTGTTAGCTCAATTGGTAGAGCGCTGCACTAGTATCGCAGAGGTCAGTGGTTCGAATCCCGTACAGGCCTGAAATTTTTTTCAGGTCTGATTTTCACTATTGCTCAAATAGTGCTTTACTGCGAAGGATCGTTCTCATATACGTCTCATAACCGCAGTTCACACATATGTTTCATATGTTTGTTGTTGTTTGATTTATCATCTACGGGTTTATGTCGAATTAATTTGATGGCCTGCTCCCAGTTGGCTTGTTAGCTCAATTGGTAGAGCGCTGCACTAGTATCGCAGAGGTCAGTGGTTCGAATCCCGTACAGGCCTGAAATTTTTTTCAGGTCTGATTTTCACTATTGCTCAAATAGTGCTTTACTGCGAAGGATCGTACACATATCCAGTTGCATGTCTTGTTGTTATCAATGGTGGTGGCGATGGCGGCGGTGTCATCAGACTGTATAGATNCCCCTCCCCTCCCCTCCTGCTCCTTTTCCTCCACCCTCGCAGCGCTACAATTTTTTAAAAAAAAAACTTACCCTCTTAATTCTAAGAGTAATTTACTAGTTGTAGCAATCTATTACGCCCAAGGAAAGATTTTTTTTATATTAGAACTAGGCCCAGTTGTACAAAGAACAGATAGCGCTATCAAACAGATAAATTGCTATCCAGGGGATAAGTAATAGCAACACGTACCACGCTATTCGCTTATCCTGTGGATAGCGTTATCTAACCTTCGAACAACCGGAGCCTGGACGCCAGCAATAGGGCAACAAGGCCGAGTGAAGCCTAATTTCTAATCATACGGTAGTCGATTAACAAAATCAGACGACCGCAAAGCAGCTATGTTGACTACGAGAGTGATTAGAGACAGAACTGAAAATCACAAAACCCTGTTATCTAATACGCATCACTAAGTAAAATTTAAAAGACAAACTCCCATTGAAGAAAAAAAAAACCTTTTTCTCGTATCATTAAAAGCTAAACATTTTTTATGTCTTTTAACTGATCTATTTTCTCATACGGTGCTTTCGACAATTCTGAAATAGCAGAAACATATGAACTGTCCTAAAAGAAAAGAAAAAGAAATGGCCTAGCTGACCAGAGTTTCCGTAGCTCAGTGCGATTCCTCATGGGAACTTGGGAATTTTTTTCTTTTTACTTACCACTCTTGTGGTAAGACGAAGACAAAGCTCTCTTTAAACTACCATCCGTTACACGTATTTTGAAATAATAACGTAAAAGTTAACTCTCTCACACCAGAAATGGACCCAGTAATTATATTTAGCAGCGTGCGCAAAGGACGCTTACTGTCCATTTACACAGGTAAGACGAATCAACTGTCCTATTAGAGCACATTTTGATTTAGTGTCACGCAAAGTGATTAGAACGGCCAATCAAAAGAAGAAAAATATCATAAGCCAATGAAAACTTAAAGTAAAAACAAGCAAATTTCTCAAAGCGCGGAAAAACACGGGTAACCTAAGCGCGGGTAATCGCCGGTGACCTAAGCGCGGGAAAACACGAATGACCGAGTCGCGTTTGCTATCAACTTTGAATCTGATTGGTCGAGAAAGTGGCGTGAGTTTCCGGACGAATCACAGCATAGTGAACCAAAACCAAAGAAATTCCGGGTGACTTTCAAGAGTCAACTAAAATTTGCTTCAGTGTTCAAAATGGGCACCTGACAACCAGTCATTTTGGAAAGCCTTGTAATAGTTTTTGATTAGTAAAGCAATCACTATTGTGTTATCACTTGTAGACTGCCGTCTTAAGACTACAACGACAATATTGTGTGAAGAGGGACTGACGGGGGGGGGAGAGGAATAGGAAGCGGGGGGGTTACAACAGACAAGAGACTCCCCCTACCCCTTCTCTTACAGTAGGCTGTCTAACTGCCGTCAAAGACTAATTTACCCTTTCCTGAAACAAGAATAATAAATCCTTTTTTTGCGATTCTTCCCCTGTAAACATCACAGAGTTTGTTCGCTTTGCGCCGAGGCACTGAAGCAACACGCAGGGTAAATATGAAACATTATTTTCGGAAAAACAGATTCTGTCTTAGCTCTGAAATAACGGTAGAGGGACATGTAACTTTTGAAAACGCGCCTTTGTCAAAAATCTTGAGAAAATAAAATAACAGACACGGTACCCGGGATGTGTCTCTCGAAAAGATCTTCGTTTCGGAGACGTTCTCAAGAACTTTAACCTCCATATTCTGAGTGAAAGTAAGACAATGGTGGAAATTCACCAGATCAGTTCTGTCAATAAAAAATAACTTCTGAAGATAGACTCATTAGAATCGATGTATCTTAGCCAAAGCCTTGATTGTAACTCTCTTCCCCGTCTTCTCTCAGGAACCCAGCGGTCAAACGTATCAGAGCATGCGCGAATGACTCTATTTTAGCTTGCTGCGGTCGAATTTCCCGTGCAAAGTAAACGAAGATATAAGAAACTTGCTGTTCCGCAAAAATGACGAAAACAAATTGAAACGTTCATAGAAGTATGTAATAGGAAACAAGATTGGGGATGGGAAACCTCGAGACTTCCAAAACAAAGTCTATTTTTTCTAAAATCTAAAGGTATTCTCACGGCCCTTTGTGGTTGTTTACATTTGTGTTATCGTTTACATACTCTGTTGGGCTTTCTCTTTAACGTTTCGGTGTTGGCAAATGCACAGGCATTTAAGCACTTTGTTTCGTTTGAGGGAATTCAGTCTCTTTGCGTGTTCGCCTCCTAGAGTTGTCTCTGAGCTACAACTAACAAAGACAGAATTTATCCTAACAATATCAATACAATATCAAGTAGACAAGTGATGATATTTCCAATAAGTTTAATTGTTCAGATGATTAGATGAATGCGCGCACTCTGATTGGTCGAGGATTACGTGATATCTCGCTCTATGATCCTTCTCTTATTTTTGCTTGCGCGCGATTGGTTTAAACGCATCACGTCACAGGATATCCCTTCCAGCTAATCAACATTATTAAAAACTGAATCATTGGATAGTGCAATTTAAGACTTTTTATTGGCTCAGCCATCATGGTATATGGGCCAATACACCATAACTTAATATCTGTACATTGTAACATCCGGTTTCTTCTTATTTAAAATAAAGTCGAGAAGATTTGTCTAATATCTTGGGTTTTTTTTTTGATAAAACAATTATTCCACTCACGCTTGTTGGATATGAGATGATTATAGACAACGAGGCGCGTAGCACCTCGCTGGCCATCTATCATCTCATATCCAACGCGCGCTCGCTTAGGGATAAGCTGTGATTGCGATCAGAAAGTCAGATTATTTGCGCCATCTTAAACACGGAGGTGCGCTATAAAAGGAGAGGTGCCTTAGGTACCTCTGGATCAGTTGTCAATCAACTGTCGTGTGATGTAAAACTCTAAGAGTCAAGTCAGTTTGAGCTATAGCCAATCCAAAGCAGTAAACAGAGGGCGCATTCCTCAAAATTGTTTTATGTTTTCATCACTATACAAGAATTTTTGAGATTTGTTTTTCCTTTCTCCAATGGAAACTGTCTTTATTTGTGACGGTAAATTTGAAATCGAAGTAGATGGTTCGCACGTTACATCATTGCCACCATGCTAGTGGAAGTAAACATCTCATTAGCTCCTTTTGTTCGTCTACCAGGCACCTAAGGGACCTCTCCTTTTATAGCGCGCCTTCGTGTTTAAAAAGAGATCCTTCGTTGTTGGTAAATTGGTGTAATTCAATTCAATTGCGCACGAGCGTGCTTCATATTCCCGTGTTGTACGCTGATGACGTGTGTACATGTTTTCTTAGAACAACATTTAAACTAAGGCGCTGATTGGTTGATGTTGCGTTCATCAAGATGAGAAGCACTTGGAAAAGCACTTACGAAGCTCGAATTACATTCGGTTACTCCTTAAAGAACACTTGCGGATCTTTCGTGCTCTCCAAATTTTGAACGGGCTTGATATTTTGATGAACGTGCGTTGACGCATAAAGCAGCCCTTAAGGGAGTAGACCTCAGCATTTTCATCCTATGTTGCACGCGGAGGGAAAACTAGAAACGTAAAATACATGCCGAATAGATTGTTTAGTTAGCTAAGTGTTTTCTTTTTTTTTGGAACAATGCATCGTAGATCTGAAAATAGCTTTTCGTCAGCTGTGTTAATTGAACAGTTTTTAACTGGAGGCAATTATATTAACAGGTTTCGTACATATTCATGAATTATGATTTTGGATCAAAAGATTTACCGAACTGCGCAAGTTTCCGTAAGTTACCTGAATTTAGCGATGATTTATTTTGTCGAGGCTTGAGATTTGAAGGTGTACAGGAGATCTTTGACAAACAGCATTAGCTCATTTTTAAAACCAATATGCGCAGGTGTATGTAACGTGATAAACATTTCAAAACAATTTGATGAAGAAATTTAGGTACTTTATGTCGCCAGTTTGACGATCGACGAAAGAAAAAACTGTTAAACGCGGCCAACTTGTTTTATTTTGTATTTTCGAAAGCCTTCGAACGTGCAATACACAGTTCATCAATTCTATTTCACGATAAATATTTCATGCGATAATTTACTCAGAAAGCCGACTAAAACAAGAAAACTTTTTTCCATGTAATGTAGCGCATTTTGTATAATGACTTTGAAAGGTTTTTCACCAAACTCCTGACGAGCTTGAGCTTTTTCTCTCTTATAGTATTATAAGTCGCTTGTACTCTGAAAAGTAATTGGTGAATTGTTGTTCGGCAGAGTGGTAGAAAAATGATATATCTTTGGATGTTGCTGTACACAGAAAAATCACATTTTAAGGGTAATATTCTATCGTTAAATACGTTGGCAAAAGTATACAATGCACCGAACAATGGACCAAAGAAAAAAAAGGCAAAGAACAAAGGTAACAATGATATAAAAAAAATATATGATGCAAAAAATATGAGACAGATTGGCGCAAAAAATAAAATTGATTCAAAGTCTGAACCAAGATCTACAGCTTGAGTTAATTCTGTTTCATTAATCTCTTAATTAACATCGATCAGTTCTCTTTCGTGGTTTCTTCCCTCCTCCTTCATACATTTCTGGTCACGTAGACTAATTTTTTTTTTCTGTTTACATTTCGCTAATTGACCCATCAAACAGCACAATCGATTTATATGCGAGCGCAACTCGCAGGTAATAATACGTTTGGATATAATATAATTTCTAGAGAGAAATGTTTGGACTCTGTGAATGAGACATGCAAAGAAAATGGGCCAATTAACCCTGGTGACAGTGTTTTTCGATGTTGAAAAACACAACAATCAGACACTTTTGAAAAAATTAATAAAGTTTTAGAGGTGGGTGGTTTTCCTTGTATGCAAGTGGTTAAAAAAAACCCCATCCTTAGTCTCTCGTTACGATGCGTTGGTAAAACAGGTGCAAGCCAGCATATGTTTAAGTTTCAGCAGCTGAGGAAACATTGGAAATTTCGTTTGCGGAGAAGAAATTATTAAAAGCAAGCATTCGGAGCAAATGGGAGAAAACTGCTCTCAAGCCTTATCGACTGCTTCTTCGGTGGTTTTAGTCTCGATAAATGTCGTTTCTGGTGTTTTATCAGTAGCTGGGAACTCGATTACCCTTCTGGCATTATACAGAACAGCTTCCTTGAGGAAGAATACCTCAAATTTCTTTCTCGCCTCATTAGCTCTCGCCGATCTAACCGTGGGCCTGTTTGCCAACTCGCTGTATCTGGCTCTTTGTGGTTTTATTTCTCTTCAAGAAATTCAAGAACTGAAGAACGCCGAGACTGCTGTGTGGCTGTTGACTACAACAGCTTCAACTTTTAACCTGTGTTTTGTGGCAGTCGATCGTTACATTGCAATTCTTCACCCTCTGCGTTATCGGGAGATAATAACTAAAAAGAGGATCTTGTGGTCGGTGATTTGCATGTGGATTTTTACTATCTTATTCTCAACTGTAAGCTTTTATCTTCCGTACAAACATTTGCCAAAGCTGTGGATAATAGGATCCCTTGTGACATTCTTCCTTCCTTTAGCAGTACTTTTACTCTGCTATTATCGCGTGTACAACGTGGCGAAAGCTCAGAGTTCTTGGTGGAAAAGACACCGCACATTTAATTGCCCTGTTTTAGCTGCCGAAGAGTTAAAACATAGAAAAGCAGCTGTTACATTTGCAATCGTGACAGGCCTTTTTGTATTTTTATTTCTGCCAACACTTGTGGTAAACTTTCTTGCAATACTCTTGAGAGGATATTGCCATAGGTTTCGCATTAACATAGCTTGGTTCTGGGTTGCGGCGATCTCGTATTCTTCCTCAGCAATTAACCCTTGGATTTACGCCATTAGGATGACCGATTTTCGACGTGCAATTAAACAGATATTGTGTAGTTAGGATGTAAACAACTCTCACTTTATTTAAACTGATTAAACGTGAGCTATCTATGTCAAATATTACGATTCTTAAAAACTGTGGGAGTGAATATTCTTGGCACAAATAAAATCGTTTCGACTTCTTGTTGACGTGTTCTGTCCAATTTAAAATTATTTTAGAAACTGAGATTAACTTGAGGTTTTCACACGGAAGACCTCGAGGCAGATATGGGTCAACCAGTCTCTGATAAATGATTAAAATTAAAAAAATCAATATGAAGCCAATCGAAAAAAAGGAATCCCGTAATTATAAACTTTTCCCCATGCAAAAACTTCAACATCTGAGTTAAAGTTACTCTCCGACTAGATTCCACAACTTTGCTTGATTAAGTTGAATTTCAACTCAAGCATCTTTCAATCGTTTTTCCCTTCAAAAGCCACTTGATCAAAATACAGACGAAAGTCCACCTCACGTCTCGCACAACAATTTTCGATGAGCGTCAGAAGGATCACAGGGTCCTTGATTGGTACAAAAAAACTCGTGCCACCTTCCTAACCAATCAGATACAAGATTTTTAAAGTAGCTTTGGCGTGATCTTTCGCATTTTCCCGCGCTTTTTTCTTGTGCGTTCTTTGAATAGCTGTTGGTTCTATATGAATTGTACCTCAGTATCCCAAGAAAAAACTCTTTCAATCCGACAGGATATAAATAAGAATGATAATTTCTGAGCGCTCAAGCCAATTAAATCTTAATGCATATCCTAGCTTGGCGTGTATTCAGTATACATTTTAGAATTTACTTTGGAAAATAATTCACAGCAAGTTAAGAGCTCTTGTTATTTTTTCCCAATTCATAACATTTTCTTCAGGATTAATTGCTTTGTTAAATGTTTATTGTTATCATCGTGCTTCTTCATTAAAAATTAAAATTGTTATAAACTTTGACATTAGTTAAGACAAAAACAGAAATAAAGTTTCGTATAAACCGGTATTTTATTCTCAAATGTACACCAAAAGTTGTTGACGCTAACTACAAGCTTAAAAGTCACTGTACAAGTTTTATGTTAACGTCAGAATTACTTCTTTTTCTTTTTCCCTCCTTTCTTTCCAGATTTCTTTCCTTTCTTTCCCTTCTTCTTCTTTTTCTTACTGTAAGGTCCCAATTGTTTACGCACCATTGTTCCTCTCCACCAGGACTGGATCTGGAAAAATAAACGCTTATTTCACCAAAGCTACAACCATTTTTTTTTTTTTTTAGCATTTTAAAATCGCTCCATACTTGTCTAATACCATCTATAGCTGTATCTACTGACCTTGACGGCTGATTTGAGTTCCTCAAGTTCTTGCTCCGCTTTCCGTCTCGCTTGTTCTTTAGCCACGCGGTCCTCGATCACAACTTTCTCATATTCGGAGTACTGTGGGTATAAAAATACCGTCCGTTGATTACTTTGACCAATAATCAGCTATAACTTGAGTCGCAGTAGTCAGCGTCTTACCAAACATTAACTGTAATGGTAGGAAGGTGTGAATTTCGGGTCACAAAAACAACTCGGAAATGGCTTTCAGCTATTATCCGAGTTATAAACACACAAAAAAGACGAATTGGGATAAATCTACATTTCATGGACTAGCGGGTTACTAGGGGACGGGGACGTTGAATGCCTCACGAGAGTCATCACTACGAACAGTAAACTCTGATGACCACTTCTGTTCGGGGTTTGGAAACGTCTTTCATTGGAAACCACACAGAACTTTGCAGAACTTCCCTCACGAGTAAGGATGATCGGACGATCGAGCGATCTGATCAAAATTCTTGATTGTTTAGGAGGGAGATTTAAAAAAAAAAATGGTGTTTAACACGAAGACAAGCCTAGAAGAGTATTTGACGCTTTCTTACCTTCTGAGTGAGTTCTTGAAGCTTTGCGAGATCGTTTGCCTTGGATGCCTAAAAGTGTGGAATTCAAACTGAGATGTAGCATAAAAAAGATTCCTTCACAATGCACCACAACGGCAAATCCGAAGAATGGTAAATTCCCATTAAAAGAAGTCGATAGAGAGATTTAGCACCGCGTTTACGTGAAACGGCAAAAGTCGGCTTGCCCTTTCACGTTTCACGTAAAATAGAGTAAGCCTTGCTGCTTTAGCTACGCGTGATCTCACGTCATGGTGGATTTGAATGCTCCTCTGTATGACTTACAAGGAATAGCTTTGGTGCCCCTATACAGGTTTTGCACAGCAGCCATGTTGGATGGCAGGAACAATGAAAATATTTTGCATAAGAAAGATTTTTTTTTTCCCATGGGGAATCTAGGCATCTGAATACGCCTACGAAAGCGCTGCCATGGAAACTGCTAGAGACGAAATGACACCTATTTTTGGATAACCAATTATTATATAATTTAACCCCGTAAAAGTGTTCAACTGGCCTTGGTCAGTCTTTCTGTTGTATTCTTTCAAAGTTACAAACCATCAAAAAGATGAAAACCGGTACGAGCCACCTTAAAATAGAGTAAGCCTTGCTGCTTTAACTTCGCGTGAGCTCAGGTCATGGTGCATTTGAAGGCGCCCTTGTATGACTTACAAGTAACAGCTTTGGTGCTTTTTTTCCAGCAATTAACTTCAACTCTGTGAGAGAAAAAGTGAAGAAAATCTAACGTACACGGCAAACGCGAAACAGGTTACTTTCACGTAGAAACGGCAAAGCGGAACCGGCAAACGTGAAAGATGGGCGGGAAAAGCAACGTCACGAGGTCACTCTCCGTTAACGTTTCACGTAAATGCGGTGTTAAATCTCTCTGATGAAATACAAATACAAGATAGGTGAAATATAGCTACACATGAGGTGGCTGAAGCGCGGGAAAACACGAATGATCACGTTGCGATTGGTTTTCATTTTGCATCTGATTGGTGGATGTTTTCTCATGTTTCCTTGACCAATCACGCGGCACACTGGAGTAAAACCAAACTTGGAGTAAAACCCAGTTGAAAATAAGTCTTGGCCATTTAATAAAACCAGTTCATTTAAATTCATTTTGACGCTATATTCCAAGAGCAGTAGCCTTCTTTATTCTGCTCTGCTTCCTTACACGCCTCGAAGAAAAAAGATCAAGGGTACAAACCTTTAAAACATCCAACTCGTGTTGTTTCTGTTCCACATCCCGATCGTATTTGTCCATCCAGTATTCCACTTTCTCTTCCAGTATCTGCGAGAATAAAATACTTATTAAACAAATATTTTTCTTTCTGTTAGTGTCACTCAAATGAATTGACAACCTCAGTTTATGATCACGAAAGCTGACGATTTTATGAAAAAAAACAACGTGGGAGATCGCTCTTGGAAGCTGACAATTCTCGAAGTACGAGTTATATGAGAGCTGAATGAAGGGTGAAAGTTTCTAAGGAAACTGTGGTGCTGCGTCGGTGGGGGTAACAAAGTAATTTCGTTCTATCAACTAAGTTAAAATTGTAAATTGGCCACCGTAAAGAGTTAAAAAGCTGACGTTTCGAGCGTTAGCCCTTCGTCTAATAAAGAATGCGGCAAAGGTGTACGTTCGAATCAAGACGCCATTCTCTGTGCAGAGTGTCATATATGGTCACACGCCAAGTGCATCGGTCTATCGAAAGCGATAGTCAAACATTATCTGGACAACCCTAAAATGGACTGGACGTGTGGTTGGTGCAGCCTTCCTTCTCCTTTTCATGTTGTGGATTACTATAGCAAAGAAGAAGTCGACGAAGAAAACTATCTATTTAATCAATCAACGAATTCAACAAATGCTAATGATCCCCGTGATTGCAACAGCTTGACAAATTACTTTGCACTAACTATGGAAAAACTCAACAGCAGCTCCTACAAGGACGTTAGGATAGCACATATAAACGTTTGCAGTCTAAGGTACAAAGTGGACGAGATGCGCTGCGTACAGAGGCAATGCAAATTTGATATTCTTGCAATCACGGAGGCACGCTTAAACGGTTCAGTTTCAGACGCTGTACCAAGTTAACATTGAAGGAATGAAGTTATTGAAGTTAGATCGAAAATCAAGGAAAGGAGGCAGCTGTATTTTGAGTTATTCTGATCATTTACGTGCTTTGCATCGAAAAGACCTGTTTGTTGACGGCCTTGATGTTTGTTGATGGCCTGACCTGTTTGTTGATGGCCTGACGGCTGCCAGTCAGGTTCCCGAGTTGCTCTGTTTTGTCTTCGGTTATGTATAGACTGCCGAACGATAAGAAGTTTTTCGACCTTATTATGCCCCCCTTAGAGAAAGCCTGGCTCAAAACGTCCAACATTACCTTATTGGTGGACTTTAACTGTGATCTGAGATCAATATCTGTGATCTGTGATCTGAGATCAATATCTACTACCAAATGCGACCCCACTGCCGTTAAACTGCTTCATATCTCCGTTTCACGCGCTTAATTTGCACAACATCGTCCAGGAACCAACAAGAGAAACACCACCGTCGAGTACATTAATTGATCTGACTGTAACTACCACAAAGGACCTGGTTAGTTTAGTCGGAATATATCCACTGGGAAATTTTAGACCACAGTTTAATTTATTCAACAATAATGTTACAAAACAAAAGACCACCTCCAAAGATAGCCTGTGTAAGGCAATAATAATAATAATAATAATAATAATAATAATAATAATAATAGTAATAATAATAATAATAATCATATGTGCCAGAGAGTTGTGACGCTGGAAATGAGCTGCCCGTGGGTTAACAATCGGACAAGAAAGGATGAAGAGAAGACATTGAAGTACGGACCCCTTCGCTGGGAACTAAGGCAGCAGTTCCCAGGCTACGAGGTGAAGCAATATAACATCATTATGGATG